GTCGGCGTGTGGCTGCTTGTCGGCCGGCCGCTGGTGCGGCTCGAACGCACGAAGCCGGGCCCTTGTTTACGCAAGCAGTGCTAAGTTCCAGGGAGACTGGGACAAGCAATGCAGTTGTGGCAACTGGGCCTATTTAGGGCCACATCTTTGATTGAGGTTTTTTCTTTTTTTTACCCTTCCTTATATTACAGAAAGTAACAGAATAACTACAGTTGTGGGGGGGGGGTGACGGGGGAAAAAAAGTGTGCTTTAAAAAGAAAATCTGAACTGAAACTTCATTTTACATTGATAAAACTGACCAAATTGTTGCGAATGAGAGTAAAAACACCATTCATATTCGGCTTTGTCAATTAATTTTCGCCATGAGCTTTGTGGTTTTATTTTCAGTGTATTCATTTCGGTATTGATGTACGGTCGTACAGAAGAAAGCAGCAGTCAATTTGAAATTTACTTTAATAAACAATACCGAGTCACTTTTTTAAAATTATTATTTTACACTCGAGAAATATGCCAGACATAAAAAAAAAAACCTACAACAAATGCAAAAAACTAAAAAAAAAAAAAACGTAAAATAAAGCAATTTGTTAAAGGAAAACTAACCAAAACCTAACAAGTGATTCTAAAAATGAATTAAAACTATCAAAATGTAAAATCTAACTATGATAGAAAATGTTTACACTGTGTGCAGGATTTTTTTGCTTTTTTTTTTTTTTTTTTTTTTTTTTTTTTGAGATTTTCACAGACAAAAGCCAATCTAGTTAGGAAGCAGCACCTTTGATTCATATGCTCAGTGATGTCTTTTTTTTTAGTTTTTGGTGTTCATTGAACTGTTGAACATTTCCAATGTTCATTAAAAAGTATTCATGGTTGTGTTAAAGGACAACTTTGGAATGGCATCATTCATTGTCGTTTGGCTTTTCTTGAATGCGGGGAAAAAATGATTAAAATCCAAAATCTGCTTTTTGTGAAGGAAATCTGAGATGTTATTTTCAGGCCATCTCGCTCAGCTTGATTCAACTGTGTCACTTTTTGCACTTTGGCTGGTATGTGGACAGCCTCACTCAGGGCTGGCATGTGCGGCGGAAGCCCTCGCAGGTTGCGTCCTGCCCGGCGCATATTTCTCACATGCCGCCGCCGCGCTCAGATTGGGATTGATCATTTACGACGACGATCTCGTTGATTTTGGCAATGAAGTTGCCATGGCAACTGTTTGCACGTCTTCTTTTTTCTCTCAGCTTGGCAGCCACCGCTATGCAGCAATTAAACCGACGACAACAGGAGATCCAACAGTGATTCATTTATTCTTGCTCTCTCACAGACACTCCTGTGCTGCTGCCAGGTCTTGTGTGTGTGTGTGTGTGTGTGTGTGTGTGTGTGTGTGTGTGTGTGTGTCTGTGCGCGCGCGCGCGCAAGCCCAATTACAATTTCATATCTAGTACCATGTACAATGTAACTCAGACTGAACGATTAATTGGCCATCCGATTTAACCGACTGATATTAGAATTTTTCAAATCTGTGAAAATCGGCCATTTTTAAAAACACATTATTTAGTTATTGATGTTTTACACATTTGTTTTACACCAACACATAAAGAGCTATTTAAAAATTGCCCCCCACCCCCAAAAAAGGGTGTTTTTTTTGTCTTTTAAAGTTAAATAAATACGAAGAGTACAAGTATTGTAAAACAGCCAAACGTTCTGCCATCTTTTTTGTTGCAACTGTTATAGGACCAAATAAGTTTTTTTTTTTTTTTTTTTCCGCCATACATATTTTTTGCAAGCAGCCCTTTAATTGATGAGCACAATTTTATTCTGCTTAGTGTCAGCCTTAATGTTGATCAAACCATAATTTTACTCAACTTTTGTGGGGGGAGAGCAATTAACAAAAAAAAAAAAACTACTGCTTTATAAGACCAAACATAAAACACAAGACTTCCTTGGCAAAGTTTTATTCCCGCTTTTGGCACAGTCTACATAAATCATATAAATAGTTGACGTTGCTGGTGTTCAGTTGGCATCTTCAAGTTCCAAGCATGTATGTTTTTGTAAAAATGTCATTTTTTCATGCTTGACCTGTCCGGTGTGAGGATATTCAGTAATTGCAAAAGAATGCAGATGCACTGCACCGGATTGAAATATCTTAAATTAAATTTCTACTTCTATTATTGACTTTTTATTTTTTTATGCTCATGGCTTAAAAATAAAAAGTTCATCACCAAGAACAATAACAAAAACATGGAATGTAATTTACAATGTGTTTTAAAATCGAATCGGTTTAACATTTTTTAATGACCTTCTGAAATAGTTGACCCTTATAAAAAATAAATATTCCAAGCAAATTAAGATGCATCCGAAAACTAATTTTTGACTGATCTTCAGTTCAGCTTTCATCACTGTTAAAATGCATCAATTATTGACTTTTTATTTTTTTATGCTCATGGCTTAAAAATAAAAAGTTCATCACCAAGAACAATAACAAAAACATGGAATGTAATTTACAATGTGTTTTAAAATCGAATCGGTTTAACATTTTTTAATGACCTTCTGAAATAGTTGACCCTTATAAAAAATAAATATTCCAAGCAAATTAAGATGCATCCGAAAACTAATTTTTGACTGATCTTCAGTTCAGCTTTCATCACTGTTAAAATGCATCAATTTTTTTATTTAATTTATAAAAAAAAAAAAGTTATACAGTTGACTCAGTAAACTGCAGTAATCTTAGTCATTAGTGGATACGCCTGTGAATATTTTGTCTGTGTACATGTGTTGCTACGCCTTTTTAATTTTTTTCATTAATACCCGGTCACAAGTTTGAGCATGGATGTTTGCATTGGAATGCGTTGGGGAGTGGCTCTCGTCTTTGCCTCATCCCGTGTTATGGATGGAAGGCGACACCTGGCGTGGATGTAGTTGAGTGCAAAGGGGGCTTTGGAAGTCTTTGTCTCATGTGCTGTCCTCTTGTCTTTCCGCCAGGTTTCAGTGTTTCTGTGTCCTTCGCTCAATGTCGCTCTTCTGTGTTCCTTTTCCTCGACAATGCACTGCACTTTCAGAAGAGGCAGCTTGTAGGTATAACGAAACTGAAGCACTCCTTCCAGATGCATGGTCCTCCCTCTCCCCTGGTTTTTATTTTATTTTATTATTTTTTTTTTTATTTTTTTTTTTTGGGGGGGGTCTTGGAACGGATTAGGGCATTTACGTGGAAAATTTTTCTCGTTAAAAATTTTTTTCCAGAACAAATTAATTTCATAGGTACCAGTGTATACAGTAAAAGGAAAAAAACCACTCATTCTCCGTTACGAGGTGTTATTGAACACATCACACGCAGCAGCGACGACTGGAAAGCCAAAAAAAAAAAAACTACTGCTTTATAAGACCAAACATAAAACACAAGACTTCCTTGGCAAAGTTTTATTCCCGCTTTTGGCACAGTCTACATAAATCATATAAATAGTTGACGTTGCTGGTGTTCAGTTGGCATCTTCAAGTTCCAAGCATGTATGTTTTTGTAAAAATGTCATTTTTTCATGCTTGACCTGTCCGGTGTGAGGATATTCAGTAATTGCAAAAGAATGCAGATGCACTGCACCGGATTGAAATATCTTAAATTAAATTTCTACTTCTATTATTGACTTTTTATTTTTTTATGCTCATGGCTTAAAAATAAAAAGTTCATCACCAAGAACAATAACAAAAACATGGAATGTAATTTACAATGTGTTTTAAAATCGAATCGGTTTAACATTTTTTAATGACCTTCTGAAATAGTTGACCCTTATAAAAAATAAATATTCCAAGCAAATTAAGATGCATCCGAAAACTAATTTTTGACTGATCTTCAGTTCAGCTTTCATCACTGTTAAAATGCATCAATTTTTTTATTTAATTTATTATTTTTTTCCCCTTTCTGCTAAACTACGTCCGCTTGCTTCTTTGCCTCTAGCACCTCGCCCTTTGCGGTGTTCACGTCCAGGCTGCCATGTATGCACTGTTTTATGTGTTGCACTCTTGTTGCATTGTGTGTTCTGTGTGTCAACCCAAAGCCCTTTTAGGCCACTGGTGAACTCCTGAAGCAAGTGCTTTGGATTTTGTCAACAATCGCATCTCAAATCTACTGACAAAAAAAAAAAAAGTTATACAGTTGACTCAGTAAACTGCAGTAATCTTAGTCATTAGTGGATACGCCTGTGAATATTTTGTCTGTGTACATGTGTTGCTACGCCTTTTTAATTTTTTTCATTAATACCCGGTCACAAGTTTGAGCATGGATGTTTGCATTGGAATGCGTTGGGGAGTGGCTCTCGTCTTTGCCTCATCCCGTGTTATGGATGGAAGGCGACACCTGGCGTGGATGTAGTTGAGTGCAAAGGGGGCTTTGGAAGTCTTTGTCTCATGTGCTGTCCTCTTGTCTTTCCGCCAGGTTTCAGTGTTTCTGTGTCCTTCGCTCAATGTCGCTCTTTTGTGTTCCTTTTCCTCGACAATGCACTGCACTTTCAGAAGAGGCAGCTTGTAGGTATAACGAAACTGAAGCACTCCTTCCAGATGCATGGTCCTCCCTCTCCCCTGGTTTTTATTTTATTTTATTATTTTTTTTTAAATTCCCCCCCGTGGAGAGTGGGATTTCTCTTCCACCAAATTTGGACATCAAGGCTTCAAAAGCTTGCGGCTTGTTTGGGTTAACAGCGTCATTTGTGTGTGTGTGTTTGGGGGACTTTTCATTTCATTGTTTCGACTTCACCAGCTCATGTTATTGTGCAAACTAGAGAACAAAGCCCCTCCATTGTTGTGTCCGTCTTGCATGAGTCGTGCACGTTGGACTGCCTTTTTTTGTTGTTGTGTTTCCCATCTTGGTCGTGTGTGTGTGTGTGTGTGTGTGTGTGTGTGTGTGCGTGTGTGCGTGTGTGCGTGCGTGCGTGCGTGCGTGCGTGTGTGCGTGCACGAGACGCAGATCTTGTGTGTGCCTTCTTGAGTGATGTGTGTGCATTTCTGCTTGTGTGCAGGCGACGTGCTCTTCCAGATGGCTGAGGTCCACAGGCAGATCCAAGTGCAGCTGGAGGAGATGGTGGGTGTTCTGCGTGTCCACACCGGCTTTCTTAAGCGATGATTACAAGAGCTGGATTCAAAATGAACTGCGATGTTAACTCATTCACTCCCAAAGATGTTTTTTTTAAACGTCTTTTCAGACTTGGTCTAGAATTGGCTGGTACTGAATGAGTTTTAATTCACCCATGTGTTAATTCCGGTAGTTGTTTGTCATTGCGGTGTTCAAGTTCAAAGAAAAACGGCTCTCAGGATTGATGCACTCTATTTTGACATCAATGTATTGTTTTATTATTATTATTATTGTTATTATTATTTTTGTAATTATCAAAAATAATCCCACAGATGTGAAGTCATGAATTGAGGTGGGCAGTAATGCGCTACATTTCCTTGATTACATTAATTGAAGCAACTTTGAGCTGCGTTGAGCTAACTAACTTCAGTTTGTCACGTTTCACCAATCCAGTGTAACCTCGATTAACTTTGGCTTCCTTTGAACATTGAAAACGGAGCCAGACAGTTACGAAGTGTTGCAGGTGGCTACCACAGCCAAAATATTTCTCTCTCTCTCTCTCTTTCTCTCTCTCTCTCTCTCTCTCTCTCTCTCTCTCTCTCTCTCTCTCTCTCTCTCTCGATATAGATATACATACACGCACATATATAGTGGATCGCTGCTTGGTGAGCCCATTGTGCCATTTCATGAATGTGAAGAAAAAAAAATCTTATGGTTTAATTTGCCTGAATGAATGTTGTTTCATAGAAATAAAATGTATTGTTTTAGTGAAAGTGATAGAGTTGGGCAATATATAAATTTGCGCAATCCAATGATAGGATGAGGATTTTTTTTTTTTGAAATTATTATTCTCGAGTAACGATACTCCTACGTGAGTAGAATTTGGGCTGCTCTACCACTATTTATGAAAATATATATTAGGAAAACCCAGAAGACATCATGTGCGGTCATATACAGTCATATATACATTTTTTTTCCCCAATACAACTCACAACTCTTGTGTAGGATTTTAATAGACCAGCAATTCCCATCACAAGTTTTTAGATACAAATAGAATTATCTTCCTCTCAAAATTAACGACAGTTTTTTTTTTTTTGTTTTTTTTTAATCACGCTTGGAAAAGGCTGCATTGCATTCGTGCAGGTGTACCTCATGAAGACGACATCTCACCACGCACGTGAACATGATGAGTGAACACTGGACAAAAACTGTCAAGTCAGCGTCAGCCGGCGAGTCCTCTATGGGTTTTGGGTGTGACTCGTGGCAATTAAACAAAGGCGAGCACTTGTGGAGCATGCAGGGTTTGTACGAAACGAGCGGTGACAAATGGCGAAAGCAGCAGCGGCCGGCGTGGCGCAGGTTCATTCAGCTCTGGGGGTGGGGGGAGCATTGTGGGAAGCCGCGGAGAAAGTGTTCTCAACAGCAATGTTTTTGGAACAGCTTGCATTTGTTTGTTGTTGTTTTTTTGTTTGACTACTGCTATTCTTGTTTGATTTTACAAGGACAATTAAGCTTTAATTCATTTATCAATATAATGCACGGAACATAGCGTTCATTCCGTCCTATGTACTGCCTGGTTTAGGTATGGATTTTGTTGCTCTGATAATCAAAGGGGGCAACCAGGTTATTGATCAAACAAACAAGCAGTTTGTACTGAAGGCCAGCCTCCGTAAAGCCAATCAGTATTTTCACTGGTGGAAGCAGCACTTCAGTCACGACACTTTATGCAGCACGTGACCACATTACCCAACACAAACACCACCACATCAACAACTTCAGACAGCATTCAAGAATCCGCCACTCATCAGTCAGCCAATGCTAATCTGTACAGCCAACAAAAATCAATGCAGCTCTGCTTACCTTATAACTGTGATGTGCTAGCAGGGGCGTCACTCGTGATGGGGTGTTGCTGTTTGCGCTTGATAACACCCGCATTTTTTAACCTGCACGTAAAAGTAATCACACTTGGAGCAGACTTCCCTTCTGTCGTCATCCTACGCCATTTTCTTGTACAGCATAACAGCTAAATGATGCTTCACCATGTTTGCTTTGAAAAAAGTTGATTTGATAAAAGCTCCACAATTATTGTTTGGTGATTGCCATGGGAGCTGAAACGGATGAATGGCATTTCTCTTCATTAATATTGGGAGAGATGATTTGTGAGGCAAGTGTTTTGAGTTTCAAGCCGAAACACGGGGCAGATTTAAGTGGTAAGTCGAGGTACTTTAAAACAAAAAAGGCCAATTAAATGAAGTCCTTTATTTCTTCTAGTCAAGTTTTCCATCCTCATCATCCTGATTTTTTTTTTTGCCCCCCCCCAGCTGAAGTCTTTCCATAACGAGCTGCTATCGGAGCTGGAGAAGAAGGTGGAACTGGATGCTCGCTACCTGACTGTAAGTATGCCGACGATTGAGCGCGTCTGGTCGCTCTCTGGACCGCTTGCTGTTGATTCACATGGCGTGCGTGATTCATATCTTTTCAAGTTGGATTTGGTGCAAAAGGATGCGGTGACTCTTTTTGGTGACAGACAGACAGAGGGAGCACAGCTGAGGCGGTCTCCGTGTGATATCTTTAGAATGAGTGGGATGCCGCCTCACTTGCTGAGCAGCGCGTTGTCTTTGGAGGGGGATGCAATATAGGCGCTCTTATTGTATAATGTCGATTGTCACAAGGATTGGGCTTCGGATGGCACGTCGGCCTCTCACTGACATGCAAGAGAGCACCGAGGGGTTTGTTTTTTAGAGAGGAGATCTCATTTACTTGCATCTATTATTATTATTAATATATGACATTGTTTTACTCATCAATCAGAATTGCCTGGAATTTATTATTGGCGAGGCAGCGGAGGCGAAAGGGGTTGAGCCGCTGGCTGGAACTTTGGTCGCAGCTCGTTTGCTTCCTAAAGGACACCAGCTGCAACCAGGCCCGATAGGAAACTGGCTTGGAAACAGGAGTTCAGAACACCCACAAAGTTTCTCCCATCCCTCCGTTGCCGACCTTGCGCACCGATGGAAAGTTAAGAATGAGTTTTCCTCAGCTAGATTTGAATCTGGATAAATCGTGGCTGAGCGAAATATTGGAAGCATTTGGGCAGGGCAAATTACAACCTCAATCAAGATTGTGAAAGTCATTCCTTTGAGAAATGAACAATCAGCCATTTGAAATTAGCTGTCCCTCATGCCATTGCCGTAGAATGCATCTGTGCTGTCTAATTTGGGGTGCAAGTCCAGGGAAATAGCACCCACAACTCACTATTTGCAATGGAATCATCTCAAAACATTTAACGTGTCTTGAAATAAGAGAGCGAGGCTAGCCCCGCCCCCCTTGTGGCGCAACACTCATCTCTGCGCTCCCATCCTACGCAGTGACTTACGCGCACGATCAGTCGCTCTGCGAGGTCACGCCGTGGGCATGATGCCGCGCTGCCAAAAAAGCACAAAGTGTGCCAAAGTTCTTCTCCTTTCTCGATCACATTGGAGCCAAAGAGCTCAATCGAGCGAATACTTGCACAGCAGCCATTCACGTCTTCTCAAAACGTCTTTTGAGCCTTATGAAAGGCTGAGACGACGCATGAAGCCTCCCTTTCTGGGCATTTTCACGTCGAGAATAGAGCACGCTTCTGGAGATATGGAGATGGCCTCTTGTGCCATTTCATTTTGTCCTGGAATGTCCGCATACGTCCAGAAGTCACTGTAAGGGAAAGGAAATTACTAATTTCCTCCATGTTTTTATTGCAAAGGAAGACATGATTTGAATAATATTCCCAAATGCTAATTCAAATTAATGACTGTGGAGGAACGTATCGTTGTGTAGCTGCCCGGAAGCATGAACAAAATTTTCAGATTTGTGACCGCGCACGGAGTGGATTTGAATTCATCAGTCTTTTCTATTCATCATCTTTAGCCGTCTGATTTAGCAGCGGCATGCTTGTATTTCTTCAATGCATGCAGTGACGAATTGAGAGTCAGTTCAAGTGAGCTGAGCAAATACAGTATTTTTATTTATCTTTTTACCTATCAGCATTACACTCGTGATTCTTTGTGATTTTTCTGCATGAGTGGGCGTACGGCAATAAAAATATATATTAAGGTACCGTTTTTTCCACATAATTTCCACATTCAATTTTCTCAAAATCTATATGGATCAATATTCTGTTTTCTTGGACGTAGCATTTTAAATGTTCTGTAAAGTGCTTTGGCACAGCCGCAGCGGTTGTGAAAGCTCTATGTAAATAAAGCTGTTTTGTATTGTATTTTCTTTAGCATAGCTCCATCTAGTGCAGTGGGTCTTAACCTGGGTTCGATCGAACCCTAGGGGTTCGGTGAATCGGTCTCAGGGCCTCTGCCATGGAGGTTAAGCCACACCCGACTCAACATGTCAATTAGTTATGACACGCCCACTTGGCCGTCACTGGCTGCAGATGATCACATGACATTGCTTGTCCAATCAGTGCTGTGGGAAATTTAGTTCGCTCAGTAGTCAATGTGTGACTGTGGTGACAGTACATTATATCGTAAAATTAAAAAAAAAAAAATGCTGTCCTGAAATTTTATTAACTTTTTTCTTGTTCTTAAGTTCTTAATGTTTATTTATTTATTTATTTGTTTTTTTTATTTCTTTAATTTGTAAAACGTCTTTTTTTTCACTCATGAAGGGTTCGGTGAATGTGCATATGAACTGGTTGGGTTCGGTACCTCTAAAGCCCCGTTCACACGGCAATGTTTGGTCCGACGCAGCTCCGAAACAAATCCAGTCGAGCATTCACACGTGCACATTTGCTCCGGCGTAGCTCCACTAAAGAGCTTATACCGGACCAAATTTGATCCACCTCAGGGAGGTGATTTAAAAATTTGCTCCAGAGCAAATGTTCGTTTGCGACGCTACGCCGAAACAAATGTGCACGTGTGAACGCAGCTGGATTAAATTTGCTCCAGAGCAAATGCTCGCTTGCGGGGGAGTGGCCTCGCTACGCTCGCGACCAGATGCACGGAATCCGACCCCGGTCGACAATGACAAGGGGGCCAGCGACACAGACGAAGCCCGGCCGTGCACCCCCGTTCCCGGTAAAAGTGTCGGCGATTTAAGCGGTGAAGACAGCGCTCACGATCAAGAAGAGAATCGAGAAAGCAGTGACGTCAGCCGAGCCCGATTTGCAGGCCCGAGCCCGAAGCAAACCTGACATTTCATATTTTATTTGTGAGTATTTTTGGGAGAAAAAAAAAACAAGATTTCTTACGGTTAAAATAATCTACATATTTTTATGAACATCATATGTTCATTATCATTATCAATCATCATCGCGCTCCTGTTTAGCAGTTAAATAGCAATTAAATTACAGCGCATTCTCTGTTTTATCCAAATTGTTTGTTTTAAAACAAGTATTCCTTAGTTTAGTATCCGCACATTGTTTTAGTATACATTTTTTAAAACATATATTGTGGCAGTCATAAGGAGCACACACGATTGACTGTAAACACGTCTTTATTCCACGACTGCCGACAAGTGGATCTATTCTGAACAAGGACAGAATAGTGTCCGCCATAATATTTATTAAAAGAAAAATAAATAAAAGTCCGCGAGAGAGTAGCCCGACCCGAACCTGTTTTACTTCCGCATTCCTGTCGTTTTGGTCCGCAGCAGAAACTGCACGTGTGACCGCAAGCGGATCTGCGCCGATGCTGCGCCGGTGCTGTCACGCTCAGCGGCTTTGCACGTGTGACCGCTCCACAAAATTTGCTCCGGTGTAAAATATATCGCAACAAAATATTTCGGTGCAGCGTCGGACCAAATGTGTGCCGTGTGAACAGGGCTTATCAAGGTTAAGAACCACTGATCTAGTGGATGCATAACGCAAAACCGCAGCCGCTAATGTAGCTTCTATTCTATGCGCCTTATAATGTGGTGCGCCCATTATATGAAAACAGTTTTAAAATAGGCCATTCACTGAAGGTGCGCCTTATACTCCGAAGCGCCTTATAGTGCGGAAAATACGGTACTTTTATTTATTTTTACTATTTCAACAAGCAAAGAGCAGCCGTTGAGACCCAAGTTATGTACAATGTAAAAGTGTTGGTGGCCAAGGAAGTTTTTGAAGCGAAGAGAGCTTCGTTTGTTCAGGCCCTGACCTTGTCTAATGCCTGCAACCAACCTGTGGCATTGATAGTATGTATATATATATATATATATATATATATATATATATATATATATATATTATTTTTTTCCCTGATGGTCCTGAACTCTGTCATTGTATCGTCAAATGCTCTGACGTAAGCCACAGCCGACATCACATTGATTTTGCTCTTCGCCAATAATCAATCCGTGACGTTAAAGAAACTCGGCCATTCCCCAGTCCGGTCACCAAGTCGCTCGCCTGCATCCTCAGCATCGGACCAGCGAGACTCTGTCACACTCCTGTGTGAGCGCACTGCCGAAAATGTTACCTCACGCAGAAAACCACACGAGCTTTGTGTCACTGCAGGCCCAGTTGCTATAGCAACCGAGCTGGTGCAACCCAGGAAATTGTTGATTGTTTTTTTTTTTTTTTTCCAATAAATAAGTGATTAGGGAGGAAACGGAATCCATTAAATTATCATATCTCATCGTGGGAACCGACAGTGCATGCATAGTTCACTGTCGAAATTCTTCAGTTGGATTTGAATCCAGTTGAATCCTAATAATAAAAGCTGCAAGCAGCAACAACATGAGGAGTTGAGTTGTCAGCATTTTGTGTTTTATGGTGACAGTCATGAAATTCTGCATACCCACGATGATAAAACTTTTTTTTTTTTTTTGTCTTGAAGGACTACTGAAAATTTAAAAAAAATGGCCATTTCAAAATAAAATGGCAGACTTGTTTTGTTTTTTTTGGTCATCCTGCCAATTTTCCCGAGGCTTAATCCGGTAATTAAGCACCAAAATGAGTCCGTGGGGATCCGTCGAGAGCACGGGTGTCAAATATCTAGTGGCCCTAAATCTTGTGCATCAACTTCCATAAATAATCAAAATCTTCAGCTCGTGCAGCATTTTTGTGTGTGTGTGTGTGTGTGTGTGTGTGTGTGTGTGTGTGTGTGTGTGTGTGTGTGTGTGTGTGAGCAAAGCCCTTTTTACAGTAACCTCAACAAATCTTATCCGTGACCACTGATCTTAAAACCAATGATCGATTGCCAGAGTTTTTTACCTGGTCAAAGTTAAATAAAAGACTCGAAACACAGGGAAGATTGTCTTTCTGAGGGCGGAAGCGGATCTCTGGGAGCGAACGACAGTAGTTGCTCACACAGTGACCACACTGAGAGATCCTTGTGCTCCTGTCGGACTTTTATTGTCTACAACGAATCAGCAAGTTGCAGACTTTGCAGATGACAAATGTCCGCCTGGGCGCGACACCTGTTCCCAAACCGTCTTTTGATGTTCTACAACACTTCGTTCCCAAATTGTTTATTCCCACTTTGTGACCGAGTCTAGCCTTCTCCCATCTGTTCGCCCCCTTGCTTTGACGTGATACATGTGGACTTCAAAAGCCCTCCGCCCAGACGGCCGACACCTTTGCGCACAGACATTTGGCGGTGCTGAATACTCACCCAAACGTCTAGACATGCCCAAATTAAATGAAACTTTAAACATGATACAATTTTACTCGTAGATTTCTCTATCATCTATCATGTGTCGCCTAGATGTAATCATAATTTCAACTTTTCGTGAGTTCACAGTCATAAGGAGCCTCTGAGGAAAACTGAAACTCCAACTTTTGCTGCGCGAGCTACAAACGTGATTTATTTTTTTTATTATTATTTTTTTTTACAAGTCTTAATAATATGTTCTTGGTGTCCGCAGGCGGCGCTGAAGAAATACCAAGTCGAGCACAAGAACAAAGGGGAGAGTCTGGAGAAGTGTCAGGGAGAACTAAAGAAGCTTCGCCGAAAGAGCCAGGGCAGCAAGAACCCGTCCAAGTACGGCGAGAAGGAGATGCAGGTGAGTGAGTGTCTGTTTTACCATAAACAACTTCACTCAGTAGGCATTAAATATGCGTAGATATGAAAACAAAATTCACAAAAAACTGAGTATTGTTAGCTCACGCCCAGATGAGAAGACAATATGATCATATGATTACAGTCCATAGATGGGACTTTTCAAAACCAAAGCTGTCAGCTGACTCAAGGGGAGTAGTCATGTTTGCTTTTGGTCTCATCGTGTTTGTTCTTTGCCTGGCAAAGTAACCCGACCGGGGCAGTTGAAGGCAAATAACATGCTGATGACTTGAAATTAGTCAGTACTGCCTTCGGCGCTTGTGTATTGCAAGATTCGCAAGAGTCGTGCTCCCACTTGTGAGCAAACGCTCCATGGAAGGATTTTCTTGAGATGAAAATGGCTGCAGAAAAGAAAGGCGGCGTGGGGATTGTGCGCCACGGGGCCGAGGCCTCGCGGGCTAATTGCGCCGCCCTGTTCAGAGGTGCAACCGAATCAATATTTGGGCCACCCGGGATCATTTCCTAGCTCTCGTTCGTGTTGGTGTTTGCAGAGTCAACGCGTGGTTGCAGACGTGACGTTTCCTTGTGCGATGGCTTGGGTTAGATCCGCACTGGTATATATTATCCAAGAGTCGTGATTTCTTTTGAGTATGGAGACAAACGTAAAGCATAAGGACCGTGAAAACACCCTGCTCAAAAGGTTGCCTTAAGATATTGGCGAAATGCTACATTTCTATTAGATAGGGCTTTGGCCCCATCTGGTGGCATCTTAAGGCATTTCAGGTAAAGAACAAAAATAGCAAATAGGCCCATTTTCAGCAAAACTAAAAAATAAATTAAAAGACGTCAACCCATTGGGAGATGCGACTCATTTGTTGTTAGGCAGAATCCATGCTTGTTGCAGTCATGCTCTCTGTCAATTTTTTTTTTTTTTTGTCATAGCTCAGGAAGAAGGGACTCCACTGTCCCTTGCACGCACAGGGAAAAGGTAATTGGTCAAGGTGACACCTATTAAGGAAAACTGCACCCACACACATTGTGTGACAAAAAAAGAAATGAAAGTGTCACTATTTTATTTTTACTTAAGTGCGCGTTGGGCACTGCTCAACTTGCCCCTGGTGTCAGTTTCTCACTGGACATTGAGAATCTCCAGAGGCGGAGAAAAGCCTGCATAATTTGGGGCACAAGCAAGCACAATATTTGGCTTGGTATTGTGACAGGAAGTGGAACTACTTACAAAAAAGCTCATTGCCATAATAATAGATAGAAAAATAAATTTTTAGCCCCCCCCTTGGCATTTCCTTGAGCGTAGCTCCAACAGAACGATCAGATGTCATTAAAATGTAGGAGACTAGACTGCCTCAGAAGTGTTTATTTATTCCTTTGTTGTGTATTCACAAATGAGGAAATCACAAAATAAATTCTGTAGGGGAGCTATAGAATTTATTTTGTGATTTCCTCGCTTGATTTTCTGTTTTGATGCATTATTTTCAATTTTCGTAGTTTCATTGAAGGAATCGTGAATTTACGTTTTTCGGAGGCGGTCATGAACGCCTCTCGAATCGAACGAAAGAAGAGAAGGCACGAAGACGGACAAAGATGTACCTGCATTTGTTGAGACTGTGAAAACCATTAACACAGTGTGCGTTTTTAAAAAAACAACACCACTGCTCTCCTTTTTTCGGAGCTGCAGCAAAAACTTATTTAATAACGCAGCGACACAGTTCACGGAACCAACAGCAAGTCATAACATTGGAAGCATGTCTCCAGCAAGGAGCCATTTTGGGGTCGACATATTACCGTAATGACCATACACAAGGCGCACCGGATTTTAAGGCGCGCTGGGAGCTTTTAAGAAAACGGAAGACTTTTCAGTGCTCCTTATTATGCAGAAAATACGGTATTTAGATGATAATCTGCATCTCTGCTAATACAACTAATCCGAATAACATTTTATATTAATTCACCTTTTTAATTTTACAAATCATGTTGAATTGACAGATCCATTCAAGTTGAATGGGATTGATTAGTTTCCGCAATATATGTAATATTTGAGTACTTCCTCACCCATGCGGTGTTTGTAATCCCCAAAATCCGAGTGTCGTGCGTCACTGGAAACATATGGCGCTTTGTATTCATTCGTTTCACTTCTCCACCATTGCACTTTTGTGTCCGCCTCTCTGTATCCGCTACACACTCGCACACACCCACACCGTCTCATCAGTCGTGTAAAGTTGCTGTCAAAATGCGAAACAGCTCATTAAACGGTACGGCCGTGTGGACCGAGGTTTGCCGGCCCAAAGAGGCAGTCGTTAACAACTGAAAAAGCCCCCGCACGCGCGCTAGTGAGGCGACACGTTCACTAACCTTTTGGTGCAGCAAAAGAAGAAAAGCTTTGTAGGAGATGCGACGCCTTTTTGTTTTTTGTTTTTTTTTTGTTTTTTTTTGTTTTTTTTTTTTCTGTGCGTCCCGGAGCGCTTTTGCTGCGCATCTTTTGATTCCAGAGAGCATTGATGATGAAGGAAGAGACACGCGGCGCTTCAAGCTTTTGAATTCCCACAAGAAAAGTTGTTGTGAAAGTTCGGAGTTGCCTTAATGCGGCAAGTGAATTCCGTTTAAAAACATCCCCCCCCCCCAAAAAAGAAGTACTACTGAACTCTTGAATGCACCTTTTCTACTGTAATACACCCCCCACCTCCCTGCACATTGACTATTTTGTTGTTTTCCCTTTGATCAGAAGCGTTCAATGGCGGCGATTCCTCTCGGAGGGCCGTTAAGACCTTTTTGTAAAATGTGTGTCAGATATATTACATATCCTTATTACTAATATCAACTCACTGCCAAACCGAAATCACCACAGATTTACAGAAATCATAATTTTAACAGACATTCACACACACACAAAAGTCCAAATTTATTTTGCTGTCATTGATTCAAAATGGTAAGACCAAGTCTGCGCTCACGCTCTTGAATATGTCACAAAAGCAAGTGACTCAAACGTTGCATCATCTTGCCAAGCTCTTTTTCCAAAAGTCTTGGAGCCATGAGCTAAATAAAATGCTTGATTCCATTTTTCACAAAACGGATTCGTCAAATGTAGCTGCGCTGCTTATGTTCACTCGTTATTGTCGAAAAAACTCATCCAGACTCTTAATCTTGAGGCAACACAATGCTGCCTGGCTCCCTTAGAGTAAGGGAAGAGAGTTTGTTCCCAAACGATTTTCAAACTGCTCAATAATGTGAACAAACGACAACTGATGTGGGAGTAAACCAACAGCCTCAATGTGTGGAAAAAATACAAAACATTTGCACACAGCGTTTCCGCCCGACTCACAACAATTTGGCACAATTGGTCTTGCATTGAATATCCACCGATACCGAGTCCCGATACCTGTAGTACTTTTCATCTAAAATATTTTCCTTCATTATTTCGTTCTGATTTTGTTTGCCCCGAGTATCAGTGGTTGGTATCAGCAGTTTCCGCAGGATCGATACCTCATAATAGGGCTGGTATCGGCACTCAACAGATTTTTTTTTCATCATTTCATCTCCACAGAAGGCCAGTGGGAGTCATACCCAGCTGATGTCGAAACTTCCTTTCTCTGCTGGTGACCTTTAGCATCACAAGACATCCTAGCCGAGATGTAACCCGAAGCCACTTTAGAATAGCGCCTTCTGTCTCTGGTCGGGCTTTTCCCGCTCGGCTAATTGCCTTGGGTTACTTCAATGGCCTTAAGAGTGCTCGGAGGAACGAGACTTTAGTTTTTTTTTTTTTCCTTGACAAGAGGATTATTATTGAACTGTAATTCTTTTGTGAAAGTGTGAGAGAGTAGACAAAGTGGTAAAAAAAAAAAAATGTGGGAAAAGTAGGAATAAGGGTCGTCTGCGGGGCTGCGATAATTTTAATAGCAGTGCCTTTTTTGATGCGACCTCGCTCGCGACTGCCGTTAAATGTGCCCACCACGGCATATTTTTCACCTTTTTTCTGCACTGGGTGAGTCAGCAAAAGTAGAAAAAGTGCTTTCACACTGTAGATGAATAAAATCTTGGAAAAAAAAATGTGGTGAAAGATTTGCAACTTGTCAGCCGGTGTGACGGCTTCAATTGCCTTGCCTGGATGTGAACCAGATTGGAAGCTTTGAATTTGATTGCAACGTGTCGAGCAAGAGCAGAAGAAGGTCAGACCCCTCTCGGGGAAGGAAAATGGATTTGTCTCGCCGCTTTTGTGGCGGTCATTGGGCAAAAGGCTGTTTTTTTTTCCTGTTCATTCTGTGTCGTTTATGCACCGACACAGCCGAGAGCCACTTGTTTAATTGGATCGCTGCAAATAAATACAGCGGCGACGATTATTTGACATAAACCTGTTGGGGCAGCAGAGCTTTGTGGATTTTTTTTTGTTTTGTTTTTTTAAATATTTAAGAGGGCTAAGGAACTAAGACCCACAAAATATTACGTTAAACTCTTTCACTGCCATTTCTCCCATGAGTTTCAGTGGCTGTTAGGCATCGAGTTTTAAGTAAGAGTCAGCGCACACCTGCCACCATTTGCTGTCCGTCTTATTAACCCCAAATAAAGTTTGGCTGTTCTAGTCGACATTTCCTTGGCATTTCAGTGCAGCTCTGCTAACCTTTCGGCTTTGACATAATGGAGTCGCACTCATTGGGGAGGTCGCTGTTTACACTACGGGTGACAGTGTCTTTGCATGACACTGTTTTCGACATTTAAAAGGGGCTCTGGGTTTTTACCCAGTGTAGCTGATTATCATGGTGGCTGCCGAGAACCAACCACATGTATCCGATCCATAAAAAGTGGATTTCTCAAAGCATCTAAACGTGCGAATCAATCGTGCCCTGAACACAACTGGCAAAATATTAGCCCTTTCCTGAAAATAACTGTCTGTCGGACTCCTGGAGCGCCACGTCACAGCCACTGGACCTTTTTGGGGGGTCTTGCAGCGAACTTGGCATGTGCTATTTTTAGAGCAAAAGCAAAGTACAGCAGGATGTCGCTCATATGCTGTCTTGCACCCTGAAAGTCACAGCAAGCAGTTGTACTAAGAGTCAAGTCCAAATCTTTGCATATACTCAGTCTTGTCATTTCACAAGAAAATACATTTATCGGGAAAAGATGTGCCATTGCTCAACAAAATAATTATTTTATATGAAAAAATTCTGTGGAAAGGGGCATCTTTTTAAATGAGGAAATGCAGTATTTCAAGAATGTGTGATGACTTGTGCAAAAATAGAGCCCAGAAAGTGTTTCAAAATCATCATAAGGAATGAAAGAAGCCATCATTTTATTTCAAAATAAACATATTTCTAGAGGAGAAAAACATTTTGGGGGGCGGGGGGAGGCATTATTGTACATTATGCAAAAATGATGACAATTACTCCAAACACTCTGTGACAATAAATAATTTAGAAAAAAAAACGGCAACATTCGAAGTGAAAAGTATTCAACAGTACTCAAGAGTATTGTATTCAAAGGGAAGGAAAATAGGTTCCCAGTAAAAGTTGTCAATGTTTTTGAAGAATGTAAACATATTCATATTGGGGGGGGGGGGCACATTTTGGAGAAGGAAAAAAAATTGCAACATAATTAAAATTCAAAGAGGAAAGAGAGAGTGCATTTTTTCCTACAAAATATGACAAGAAAATCCATTCCAGTGTTCAGATATAAGGAAATATAAATAAATACAAATATAAGAAATAAAATATAAATCTAAGAAATAATAAATGCAAGAAATATAAGAAAACATATATGTAAGAAATAAAAAAAATATAAGAAAAAAAAGCGAAGGAAATAGTGTTCAGAGCATCAACCTTTGTTGTATGATGATGACTGAAGTCCATTTTTTTCAACATGATTTTTTTTTTTTCACAATGTACTTTTTTTCAGCGTGGCCCCACAAGTAAAACTCATTGGATGCTTTCCTTGACATAAACTATGATGAACTCAAACTGAGTCGGTGAAAACGTAAAGGAAAGAAAGATCTGTCAAATCAGGAATGTACCGTATTAACATTAATTCTGCGCAAAGTGTCACCTGGACACGCAAACTACAAGAGAAACCGGAACTCTTGCTGATAAAATGACGGCTGGGTATCCAGGTTACAGGGGTGGGGCATCCTTGGTTTTTGCTACCAATGACAACAAATTAATTTGCGCATGAATGGCCCCAAATGATTTGCGACTATATACAGGCGGTGCTGACGCGTTGTTGTCTGTGCTTCAACGCAGTTCGTGGAGACCATCAGCAGTAAGCAGACGGAGCTGGACACCTTCATCGCTGAAGGATACAAGACAGCCTTGTCCGAGGAGCGTCGGAGGTACTGCTTCCTGGTGGATCGCCAGTGTGCCGTGGCCAAAAACAGCAGCGCCTACCATGGCAAGGTAGCCCTTTCACACTTCCCTATTGTTACTTTGCACTCCCCAGGCTCACATCGAGGTACAGGAATAGCCCAACCCCTATTTATTCGACAGCAGGGGTGGACAAGGGGTGGAAGGCCCCAGAGGCCACACGCATCCTGTTTTTTATTTTCTTTTTTCTTTTTTCCCACTGTACCAATGGGCTATTTGAGGGATTGAAATAACTGAATGGATTGATTAAAATTAAAATGCATTTAATTAGTTGTAGATTTATTTTTATTCAGTATAGCGGTATTATACATGACTTTAAAAAAAACAAAAAAAAAAAACCAGTCCACAATTATATAGTTCACAGGTGTCAAAGTCAAGGCCCGGGGGCCAGATCTGGCCCACCATATCATTTTATGTGGCCCGCGAAAACAAATCAAGCATGTCAACTTACATAATGCTTGCCAAAGTCTTAACCAAAATTTCAAATTGTCATATGTAATCCATAACAACATGGAGGTATTGCAAGCTTTTTCTTGTTTCCAAACCCCTTATTACATTCATGTAAACAATGTTTAAGCAAGTCATTACTCTTGACTTCTGATTTCAAAAATAGGTGTCCATCAATTTGTTGAGTGCTGTGTAATATGTGGATTTATGTGGTTTCACAAAATTCAGAGTCATAACAGCCCTCCAACGGAAACCGTAACTAAAATGTGGCCCGCGACAAAAGTCAGTTTGACACCCCTGATATAGTTCATTAGGTTTTTATATTATTGAATAATTTAATTAGAATTCACTGGGGAAAAATTGTTTTTCTTTTACTGAACTAATTTAAATTAAGATTTAGAATAAATGTTTGTCTGTGTCTGTGTTGCTGGCAACCAGTTAAGAGTGTCCCCTGCCTACTGCCCGAGGACAGCTGGGATAGGCTCCAGCAAACGGTTCGGAAAATGGATGGATGGATGTCTGATAGAAATATTTTGCCGGCCCTGATCAATATTAATCATGGAGCTCAAAATGTCCATGACTTGGCTTTTGTTTGCTGACACCCACGTCACTCACCAGCCCAGGCCCGGCCTTTTATAGCCATAAGCACAGAGTCACAGATACTACAATAGAATGTGAGGATGACAACCTTAAGGCGTAGAAAAAAAAGTAGTGTGTTTCCGGTAACCCGACCGACCGAGAATTTCTACGTCGAAAAAAAACTTTACGGTCGTTATTTTTTTTCAAACAACCCTCTACATTTTTGTGTAGAGGGTTTACTTCGGTGCAAATTCTCGCGATATTCACGTTGAGCGCGTGCGTCATTTGCCCTGTCATCTGTCAACAACATTGAAACATGGCGGCGGCCGCGATATCCGACGACAGTTTAAACCGCGTTTTCTGTGTTACAGTCGCGTGCTCGCACCATAATCAGCTGCGGAGGCGGCGGTGCGCCCTGGCCCCCCAATTCCGGTGCGGGGAGAAAACTAAATAGGTGACGGTGGCGCCGGCCGCGGAGCGCCGGGTTCAATGTCTTCTTGTTTTATGTTTTATGGTTATTTTGTTTAAATTTTTGTTGGGGAAAAAAAAAGATTAAAAAAAAAAAACTTTGTCCGACCTACCGACCCTATGCTGAAATTTCTTGTTACCGGAAACACACAAATCTTTTTTGTTTGGCCTAAGTGGACAATCATGCCAGAACCACACTTGCACGTTGTTGTTTAATAATGCCAAATAAATTTGTGTCTGAGTACTTGATTGGTCAAAAAAACGTAGCATAATTTGAAAAATATTTGACAGCTGCAGGCCTACACTAATGTGCAGGGCTGAATTATTCGATCCTTTCTTCAATGTTGAAAATGTAAGAGTTAACGACATACAAATAATGAAAACCTCAGTCTTCTTAATGAATGAGGATGCCAGAATGCCAACGTGAGTCTTGTTACAGATTAGCTTCAGAGATTATATATGTGTGTTTGTACGCACACACACACACACACACACACACAC